CGCCGCCTCCCTGTCGGGAAGCTACTTCAGCCAGCAGCCCGGCGGCGCCGTCTCCGCTGCCACCTGGGCTGACGCCGCGGATGCTCCGTTTCTGATGTCGCCCTCGGTGACACCCTCGCTCTCCGGCTCCGAGTGGCAGGATCACCACATCAACGAACACCACCTCTCCTCTACCTCATCACGCGAGAAGAAGGCAGCAACCAGCATGAAGTCACCGTCCTCAGGTGCCGTCGCGGGCCGCAAGCCCATCGAGTGTCCCATGTGCGCCGTCCACGACGTCTACGTCGGCTTCGGCAGAAAGAGCGACTTCAAGAAGCACCTCCAAAACTTCCACAACACCGACTTCATCTGGGTCTGCCCGCAAGATAACTGCCGCATGATCTTTGACTTTGAAAAGGCTTACATCGCCCACGTCAAGCTGGACCACCATCAGGGTGAGGCAGCATACCCGCCCGCGGCGGCGATCGCGGCAGCAGAACAGGTCAAGGTCGGCCTCTGCGCGCAAGTCGTCTTCGCTTGCGGCTTCATCGGCTGTAAAGAGGTCTTCGAGGCCTCGGACGACAGCGAGACCCCCAAAACGGCTGACGCCTACTTTGACCACCTCGCCAGCCACTTTGACAAGCGCAGCAGCACCATCAACGCCAACAGCAGCAGCTGCAACCTCGGCGTCTCGTCAGAGTGGACATACTACCACCAGATGCAGAACCTCCTCCGCCAACGCTCCCTCAAAGACGAGTGGAAGCATATGCTCTGGGACAAAGCCGCCCGCAACCAACTCCGTTGGCAACCCCGCTCCTCGGGCGACTTGAAGAAGCTCCTCGAGTGCCGCCACCTCGCCGATGTACCTCGCATTCTCCACGCCGCCTGGACGCTTGGCCAGACCTGCTTCTCCTCCCCCGAACACCCAGCCCCCGAGTTTCCCGGCGAAGCAACGCGGCCCGTCCGGTCCCGATGCCCGCTCGCAGGCGAAGGGAGAAACCACGGCGAGCTCCGCGACGTTGTTTGCGGAGGCGACCAGCAGCACAGTGACGAGCAGTCGCCATCGGCAATGACCATGTTCGCCCTCCGCCGCAACCTCTTCCCCGTCAAGCTCGCTACCGTTTCGCACCCGCCGCCGCGCTCTATCCCCGAGGAGCCGGATTCCCTGGCCTACCCGCACCCGGGCACCCCTCTCGTCATCCCCGAGCGCGACGCCTGGTCTACGGACGTCGTGCTGGGCCCGCCCGAGGATGAGCAGCTCTTCGACCCCATGTTCATGCCGGGCAGCGGGGCGACGACGAATATGCTGCAGAACCCCATCTCTCCCTGGATCGATGCCATGTCTCAACAGCAACAGCATCAGCAACAGCGTCGGTCTTTCGGCGACTTTTCCCGTCACCTCACACCCTCGCCGCAACCTACCGAAGACCAGGAGAGCAGCTTCGGCCCGTTGCTTCAGGTTCCTCAACCCACATCTGCTGCCGCCCCGAAACGTCCTCGTTCGTGGGGCATGAGGAGCCTCGAGAACCTGCGCCTCAAGCGTCGTGGGCGTTCGTCGCCTGTCACGTCACCGGTCGAGGAGAAGGCTTTGCCTGGGTGGATCTGAGACAACACGCTGTCTCTGTGCACTATACTCTACATTTCCTTTGTCCATACAAACCTGGAGATGTGTATTACCTAACGCTTTACATGACATGACTTCATGGGTGGTGGCGCAGCTTCATAGACTTCTTTTTTCTCTTTGCATTTCTTTGTTGGTTAAGGTCGGGATCGAAAACTATAGACTACAAGATACCCCCAATGGGCCTACTTTTTTTTTTTTTTTTTTCATTTTCTAGGTTGTACATTTCGGGGTCGCCGAGGACGCTACAGAGGCGAACGAAGTGGCTAGGGGTTATACTGCTTTGTTACTACCCCGCGGCGGCGCTCAGGACAAGATGATGATTATGATGACGTCTAGAGCACAGGGGTTTAGGTGGAAATACCATATAGACAGACAATCAAATCGGAGTAATTTCTCTTTCTAAATTCTCATGTTAAACCACTTCAAAATGCCGATATAACTTTTCATTCTGTGGAGCCTCCCCGTTATTCGTGTGAAGGAGAGATGATGAATGAGGAGCCAGATATAGGGCTGTACACTGCTCCCAGCCCCTGATGCTTTTCACGTCAGATGGTTTGAATAATAGTGAGAAAAACACACAATCAGCGGATAACCTTTTGCTTCTTCATTATCGTAAACTAAGTTACCTCAGACTGTGACGCTTTCCGAATCTAACTAGAACGATCAACCCCAGACCTGACGGCCCTGGGTCAAGATCACTGGGAAATTTCCAGCCTTCAGTTCTCTGCATGATGTCTACTAGGTGTCATCTGCACGACCACGTAATTTTCGCAACAACTCGAGCCTTACTCATAACTCCACAGTCCTTTTAACGCATCTACAATAACAAAACAGCCAACAAAACCTCACTTTCTAATTCTCGAACCCAGCATACAAAACCTTCTCCATCATACCGGCCGCCGCCCCAGCCTCGACCTTCGCCTCAATCCCACATTCCCCATACTCCTTGGCCTCCTCAAAAGCCTGCTGCCAAAACTCCCACCTCCTAAACGAGAACCCCGCGCGGCCCTTAAACCGCGGCCCGCACTTCCATCTCTCATCGCTACTGCTACTCTTCCTCGCCTTCTTCCCATTGGGTTCTCCCGTCCCTGCTCCCCCACTAGTAGGAGCTTGCTGTTGTTCTTCCGACGGTGACGTTGCCTCAGACCTCACGGAGAGATGATATAGTCTCTGACACGAGTGAATAGCCCACTGCGCAGCAGCCATGAGCCGCGCGTCGGCGCCGTCGCGGTCGCTTGCGTCTGACGAGCGGCGGTCCTCGAAGGTGGTGCGGAGCTGCTGGATGGCGTGGTCTCGGCCGTCGATGAGGTTGTAGGACCAGAGGAGAGAGGCGAAGGCGTTGAGGTTCACCCAGCGGGTGAGGGTTTCAATCCTGTTTGTGGATTGGTACGGTGCTTTGGGAGGTTGATTCATGTGAGTAACCGTGATCATTGAGGGGTGACTCCAGGTTTGAGATTTGATGGCAAGTGTGAGACTCACAGGTCATGCAGTCTCTGATGACTTGATTCAGGCCGTGAAGACGACTTAACTGCTCGAAGCCATCCTACAAAAGGAATCAGAACCAGTAGTGTGTAATTAAATTCAACCTTGGAACTCACCACCATTACCGTAGCCGATGTTCTAGGCGATAGAGCCAAATGGTCGAGGATCACCACCAGATCCAGCATTGCGATATTCCCCGAGGGTGTCTGCTGCGCCAACCCCACAAACATCTTCCACACTGACTTGAGGACATCGTCAGAAGGCCGATGTGCCGGCAGTAGGCCCGCAATCTCAACCGCGACTTTGCGTAGCCTCTGCGGGTCGTTGGTCTCCGACATAATGGTCCCGCGAACAGTTTCAAAAGCCGCGTCGTCGTCGAACGACGAGGCGTCTGGCGTGTGCTTCCATCTTACGACTGCCATGTTCCCCCCAGTCAAATCGGCCAAGTTCTCATGAGTGTAAGCGTGCACAGCGGTTGGGTTGAAGCGAAAGCTCATGATGAGTTGCTGTGGTGGTTCCGGATCGGGCTCGGAGAGACGCGGAATCAAGATCGTGGAGACTTCGGGAAGAATTCCGGTAAACACCTAAAGTAGTTCAGTTGGACGTCCTTTTGCAGGTTCTGTGACATGTGCTGCTTCGAGTCAGGGATTTATGCCCCAAGTTTCTCTCGAGAAATGATGGGGTCCTGATTTCCAAGGATGGGAATTGGAGAAGAGGAAGCATTGACTTTAAGATGGCTAGCTTTTTGTTTGCATGGACATTGACATGGAAGAGTGGTTTCCATGGTAGCTGTATCCTCGGCCTCATCACCACATGAAGCCGGATCTACTACCTAGCGCGCCGGTGGGTTATGCGGGGAGGCAGCTGGCACCGGCAAACCGGCTCTTGGGACGGATGAGCGATTGAAAGGCCCGCACGTACCAAAGGAGCTCTCGGTTTGTCGAGATCAGAAAGCCGCTAGATGTGGTGGCAGCTTCTGTCAGGCAATAACTTGATCAGAATGACTACCATCTGCAGAGTCTCCATAGTTGGTATTGAATTCACCAGAGTAGCAAGTGGTAGGCTTTGTGGGTGGCCTGGAAATATGGTACAGGCAAAGGGCTTTGATAGTTCCAATTTAGGACAGACATGAGGGTCTCTTGGGATGCGTTCTAGTTGTGGCAATGGATGCCTTTCTTCAAAGACTACGAGCTATCTTTCTGCTTGTACGAGCATCAAGCAATGGTTAACGAGGCTCAAAGGGTCGACCTTGACTCCGCTCAAGTGCAACACATGCTTTGAGGGTCTTCCGTGACAACCAAAATATACTGATGGGGCAAAGCAACATGATAGCAGGAGAAAAGGATTTGGACAGCAATTCCAAGTTGATGTCATTGAAACCAGAGTGAAAGATGTTGTATTCGACGCCCTAATCTTTCTTATAGTGGTTGTAGGCGATCTGATCTAGCTGGGACCATGCCCAGCCTCCGTGATCGATCGATTTGAATGACGAGGTCACCTAGCAATCGTGTTGAATACCACGAATGAATGAGACAACCTGAATTGGTAGAAACAGCAGTGGCCCTTCGGCGCCGAATGTCAGCCAAACTGGGAAGTCATCAAGTGCCCCGACGGCCATCCACAGCAAGGCAGGAAGTGATGGTATGGTCTTTCTCCGAAGCATGATCTTTCTCCGAAACGAAGGACCTGATGAGTATCACTCCCGACTGTTCCTTTCCCAATCCATCAAGCATGTAAACTCGACAAGAACAGAGCCGACTGTTTGCCAGCAGCTCCATCATCACCTTGCCCGTCATCATCGTTGCATATCATCAGCATCAACTTCGCCGTCATCATCGTCACCATCAATAGCACCGGCGACAACACCGATATCTACTTACTAACATCCACTAACAAACATCCAATAAACTTCATCATGTCCTCTTTAGGCCTTCCAGGCCCATTCAACATACCTCCGGGAGACGCCAACCTCAATCGGAACTGGAACGCCTTTCTCGACAAGCACAACCTCCGAAACATCTGGCAGACAACCCGTGCCGATATCAACAACCTCTGCAATACCGCGCTCTTGGCCTTGCAAATCTCACGGAGCCAGCAGATCGCTATTGAGGACTCCATACTCGATCTCTGGGATCGTATAGGCCTTACGGTGGACTACCTCAACCCAGATGCGAACCCATTATGGAGGGCGGATGAGCAGCTCGTCAAGCCCACAGCACTGCGGCTCCAGGAGCAGCGACGACGCCTCCAGGTACAGATGAACATGTGCCAGAACGAGGTCCACTGGGACCAGGTGTGGCTCGAGCTAGACATGAGCAGCAACCCGCCGACTGCACTGTCTAGAGGGGGAAGCCCCTCGCCGGTCGTCTCTGACGAGGATAAGACGCTAGACGAGGATCCAGGTCTGAATATGCAGGAGACGGGGGAAGCGGAGGGACGAGAGAGTAATATACTCAGGGTCGCCAAGTCGCTGAGCTGCACGAGGTACTTCCTCGGCCACGCAGCGGGAGACCCAATCTTCTCCTACGATGGGCGGGACTTCGACTACCGTGGCCGGGTCCCTCGAGACCCTAAGGAAGATGTACTGCGCTTGCAGATCCTCCTTCCAAAGGTTCTCGCACAGCTCGTCACCCTCATCGCGTTCTCCCCCTCTCTTGAGTTTCCGGAAGAGTGCGTCGAGATGCTCAACTGCGTTGACAACTCATCCGACGAGCTCATCTTGAGGGTTTGCTTCTCTTGGATCTTGAAATTTGGTGAAGGCCTCCCAGCGACATACGCGTACTTCCTCGGCACCAGCCCCGTCATACAGGAGTTTGCCTGGCTCGCCTGGGACATCTGCACCGACGCCAACAAACTCTGGTCCAGAGATACAACCCGCGACCGTACGAGCCTGATGAGAAGCCTTGCGCCCATCATGGAACTCCTGTCGTTCGACAGGACTCCGGTATTGGCATCACCAGGTTTGGTGTTGAGAAACTTTGCGGAATTACACGAAGCGGAAGAAGAAAGGGAGGCCAAAGAGCTCGTCTTTGAGCAGAAGGAGTACGACGTTGCATTGGTGTATGATGCATCAATTTGCGAGGTAAGCCGAAGTTTCTTTCGAATCGCCAGACCCCTTCCTTCCTTGCCCTCTTGTCGTGAAGGATGGTTTGCTTGGGAATTGGGAATGGTGTAGTTGATCATGGATGACTTCCCATTGAACGGATACGTACCTAAACGGGGTCCGCTAGAATGTCACGCCATGCAGGGGTCTTAACTCCCCCATCCCATCCACCCGACTCCCTGAGTCCTACCTATCTGCAGGCACAAGCCAACTTGCAGAGCCCGGATAAACCATCCTCCATATCCCATTCCCCATTCCCAAAATTTCCCATCAAGCTTCACCGATTGACCAACACCTTGCTAACGACGCTCCCCTCGGCGCAGTCAATCAAAAGCCTCTACTCAACTTACACGGGAAGACACCACCCCGACGTCGGCGTTCTCTTCCTTCGAATAGCACCGCCTCAGTTCCTCCTCGACAACAACGACAACGTGTTCGCCAACGGTCCGATCCCCGACGAGGTCATTGCCGCGCACCACCGGATCAAATTACGGCTCCTCGACGATCCGGAACCCGAAGCCGAACGCAGTCCTGTAGTTGACCACCGGACTGTATCTGCAGACGATATCCAGCCCGAGATAGTCGTCTCAGGATTCACGCGCAGGAGGCACCGTCAACAGCAGCGCACAGAAAGGAACGAGACTCCCGCCGAACCTCCGCTGAAGAGACGACGAGGTCGTCACCCAAAACACCGCCCGACACCTCCCACGTCCGATCCTGTCGCCGATTGATACCCCAACCTCGACTCAAGCTGTGATTCAAGCTACATCATCCCCAAAACCACAACCATGGCCTCCTTCGCACCCCTCCGCAGCGGCCTCCGCCAAACCCTCACCATGTCAACACCCGCCGCCACAATGGCCACCACGACAACCCGCTCCCTCTCAACCACAGCCCCCCTCGCAGCCCGCAAAGCCAAGTCAGACAGCATTATCAACCCAGAGTACATCGCTCGCATAGCAAACATCCGTCAGCACCTCTTCGCCGAGGCGCCCCCGGCGCTGCGCATGGCCCGTAACCGTCACCTCCGCCATTGGACCATTCACCGCGCCTGGCTTCTTCTCCAGCGCCAGCAACGTGAAGCCCGCGAGAGGGAGCTCCTCCGCATCCAGCAGAGCATGTACACCGCCAACGAGCAGCTCCGCACCAGTGCCGGACCGGGAACCAGGGAGGAAGGGTGGCTGTACCGCGTCGCCCAAGAGAAGAAGGGCGTCTATGGACCCAATGCCGTGCCTATTGAATACGCGCGCTACCAGAGTGAGACACCTGCCCGGCAGGCGTGGAATCACGAGTGGAAGCGATAGACCTGTTATTTCTGACGCGGGCAATACTGAGGAAAAATAAAGGGGATGGAAAAAGGAGTAGTGGGTGAGAGGAAAGGGGTGGACACGTTGAGGAGTCTGCTCATTGGCCGTGTACGACTATTTTGAGCTCGGCGTCTCTTGTGTCATTCCGCTGTACCTGTAGCATACTGTCTGTTGTATCAACTAGTGTATTAAATGGGAAAACAAAAACACATGTCACTAATCAATGGTTGGAATGCCTCTTTTGAAACTTTTAATCAGTTTTATTGCGTGAAGTGACTGCCATCTCCCGTTGACAGGGAGCAAAATGGGGATACTCCAAAGCTCCAAAAACCAGTTTCCTGGTTGTTGAACTTTTGGCTCGTTCTATAGTGTGCTGTCCTATTAATACAGACAATGGAGGAAAAAGGGTTAGTCCCTAGATCTCCATAAATACGTTTCCGCTGAGTGTTTGCGCTGTTCCTGCTGTTTGTAACGCCGCTGAGGGGAAGAAAAAGAGAGGATTAAAGTTGATTCGCATGCTTTTTGCGATTGTGGTAAAGGTGTGACCAGGCGAGCTTGCTGAGAGTACCGACCAAGTGACGTCCACCCTGGCCTATTGTGTGTGTGCCTTTTGGGTAGCCAGCCGCCCAATTGTGTATGGGAGCTGGCTTGTCTTGTGCTTCTTGGATCGAACCGGCGTGGGGGGTTTTTTTTTTTTTTTTTTGCAGTGGCCTGCATTCTCATGGTTCTGTGATCCAGCCTGATCACTTCCGCAAAATTTCGCCCAGGTCTCTTCAGTTCGCTGCGTCGTGCCTGCACTCATTGTCGGTCGAAAGGCAGAATAGAGAATGACGGGGGTTGCTTCCTTCACAGAATAACGCAGCAGCCGCCTCCCTCGCCCTTCTCAAAGGTCAACAAGGCAGCACGAGTAGCGGCCTCAAAGACATCGTCGACACCCTCGCCGCTCAGACTGGAGCATTCCAAGTATTTCCGTGCGCCAATCTCCTTGGCGGCAGCATCGCCCTCTTGATGTGTGACGAAGCGCATCGACTTCTTTCGCATTTCCTCAATCGCTACAGGATCTTCGCGGAGATCCTTCTTCAAGCCAACCAGAATGATGGGGACGCCTTCGCAGAGTCGCGTAACCTCCTCCACCCACTGTAGCCCAATTGTCAGCTGCCGGACCGTAGGTTTGCATCAAGGGACGAGACCCGTTTCGAAACCCACCTTGTGCTTTACGTTGTCGAGAGAATCGGGTGTATCGATGGAGAAGCCGACGAGAATAACGTGAGCCTTGGAGTAGGCCAGGGGACGTAGCCGTTCGTAGTCCTCCTGTCCGGCGGTATCCCATAGCGCAAGCTGCACCGACTTTCCATCTACTCTGCAGTCTGTCACGTAGTTCTCGAAGACGGTAGGAATCTAGGGGTTAAGTCTCGTCAGATTTCGTTCTAGGGGCGAGAGGAGTCGCTGGTGGCACTCACGTAGTGCTGCAGACACCAATCGTTAGCAAAGATCCTCAGACTCAAGGTCAGACCACAGGGGGGGATTATTGGAGTGAACATACGGTAGGGAAATATCCAAGTGTGAAGACGCTAAGCAAACTAGTCTTTCCGCAAGCACCGTCCCCTACAATGACGAGTTTCCTGGAGGCAGCATGTCAGTAAGTCAGAACAGATGGACGGGGCACGGAGATCAGGCTGCCTGGCTCAGCAGAGGCAGGCAGAGGCAGGCAGAGAGGTTGCTAGCTTTGCGCATGGCGAGCTGAGGGTGTACCGAGCAGCAAAAACCGATGCGTGCTCAAATCAACGGGAATCGAACAGGCGACGTACCTCCGAATAACGTTGGTGGGATTTGCTGCTGCCATCGCTGCGGCTGTGGTCGTGAATCGGGCGGGAGGATCGTGGAGTAAAGGATGGGCGACCCGAGGTCAATTGATGGGTGGATCGGGGTTCGTCCGAATCTATTTGCAACGTTGGGTACTGCGGCGTCGGGAAGGTCGAGAAGAGGCCCAAGAAAATATCGTGGGCGCTTCGATCGAGGTATTCGACGAGGTCGTCGATAGTGGCGATCGGTGGGTTCGTCTTTTTGGGATCCGTACGTCGCAGGGTCGTATCGGGGGAGCGGTAGCAACGTCGGGGGCGGAGAAGCGACGGATGGGATGTGCCAGTAAACAATGTTTTGTGTTTGAGGAGGTGGGTGCGTGGGATCAAATCCGTCGTCTCCTTTTCGGCGTGGGTGGAGATGGATTTGGAAGTGGAAATGCGGAGTGAGTAATGGGCGGATATGTCGGGAGGAAGTGGAAAAGAAGATGAAGAAGAAGAAGGGGAGAGGAGGAAGAAGTTGTGGTGGTCGTGGATTTGTGGTGGACGACGACAGTGAGCTTAAAGCTGCTGGTGGGAATGGATTGGAAATGGAGTCGGGTGAGGTGGAGGAGAAGATGCAGCTGGAAAGAAACGGACCAGACTGGAGGGTCAGTGCAGGCCGATGGGAATGTCCTATGGGTACTACAGGTAGGAAGTGAAGAGGAACTTGGTTGAGGCCGGGCGTTGCAGCTGGCTGGGAATACGAGCTGAAGAAATTCCACGGGGGTAATCGCGCGTTGAAGAAATGGCAAGGGAAACCGGACCCAAGTAGGTATATAGGTATGCCCACCCGTAGTACTCCGTAAAGCTACTAATAGGAATATCTACACAGTACGGAGTATGTATTCGTAGGACTAGGAAGAACTGCTGGAGCCGGAGCTAAATGATAGACAGCCAGACGGGCCAAAGGGGGAGGGGAACTCGAGAAGAAAATGTGGCCCGGGGTACGGAGGACGGAGCACCCAGACGGGCGAGCGCGAGGTGAAGGCGGTATCCCACCGTTCCAGTCGACTGACGGCCGATGGACTGCTTTGCCAAGCTTGTTTTGTTTCTTGCTACTTTCTGGATCTTGGCGAGTTGATCCTTTTCCAGGAGTGTTCTCCAAGATGGCTCGAGTAGAACGAGTAAGAAAATAACACAACAATGTTCAGGGACTTTTGTAAGAGACGATGAGAGCAGCAGCCCAGTAAAGTACCTCGGCCAGGCACAGCAACCAGAATCGTCTATACTTTGTCAAATGTTTGCCAATCACCATACGTATCCGTACCTTGCAGCCAGCAAGAAACACAAGCCCGGGACAAAGTCCACCACGGAAGCTACCCTGAGAACGGGTGCTCTCAGTCAGGGCAGTGCGGGTTACCTCAACTCAATCCCCTCTCGGGGAGAGTTCTGATCTCTGTCTGTCCATGACGGTTGAACCTAACAAAAGTGCGGTGCGCCAAGCGGTGCGTGTTGTGGCACAGCAAATGCCTTGGTACCTTTTGGTCCACAGGGAACAAGCTACAACACCACAAGAAAGAAAAAAAAAAAGGGACGATGACACGGATGGCACCGTTTCTAGAGTCGAGGCCCGTCCGGCCTAGACCCTTCACCCAGCCCCCAACTGGCAGTCCGGTCCAGGCGAGTCCTAGCACCCCCCCCCCCCCCAATCTCTTCTCTGCAGAGTATCAGTACAGACTGCCGGCATCCCTATCAGACGTAGTCCTGGATTGCTGGTTGCAAAATGCTCTTCTATTGCTGCGGCTAGGGAGGGGAAGGCAAGCAGGTCCAAACCTGCCGGCTCCGGGTGCTGGTTCAGCAGTCAATGACTCTGTCTCGCACGAACCAGTCTGTGATCCCACGCCATCATGCGGAGCGATGACAGACAGGCGGAACTTTGTCTAGTCCAAGGTACGACGGATGCTGCTACCTTACCCTGAGCTGTCCGATGAATTGATTTTGGCCTCGATGAGCCCTGGATTGGGAAGGGGACCGGGTCTTGGGCCTGGAAGGCTATGCTGTATGATACACCTATTCCAGAATCGCGATCCCATGTTCTCTTCGACGTCTGCTCCGTCTGCCGTAGCAGACGTGCAAGACGAGACCGAGATCACGAAAACTACAGGTCTCTTAAGAAAGATGGCCATTATCCCGCTTGACGTATATACCAACTCAAAGAATGCTAAACCATTTAGTTGGCAGCGAGGATCTCAAATACGGGCTCCGTCCCCAAAGACACCCTTTGAACGGACGTTTTACCGCTGACGGTTGAGCTAACGTACCCGACCTCCGGGGGCGGCGCCCAGTTTTCTAAAATAAGGTACTCCCGATCTGTTTCCCTCCTGCCCCCCGTCCTCCGCCCCTTGTCCTGGGCAGTTCCAAGTTCCTGGCGCAAAGACGGTAGCTTGAATTTTGAACAGAGAAAAAGAAAATAACGAAAACAAAAACACCAATTCGTCGCCAAGGTTTCTTCAGACGTCGATAACCGACTTTGATGATTCTCAACTCCTAGTGTTCCATGTTTCCCATTCTCGATTCAAGTTCCCCCATTTCCGGAACCTCCCCAAATGTAAGGTAGGTATTGAGTTGAGAGTATCTGTCATCAAAGTCATCGTCAGCTACTTACATCATGTCTTACGCACCTCCACGTTTGAGAAGTCAAGAAAAGACGTGGAAGAGGGGGGAAATCAATAAAGCATCAACCGTTCAAACATCGGATGGCGGTAACGGCACCGATTGCGCCGGCAGCCGTATGTCTCATCCTTTCCATTCCCCCAATCCGCCCCAAATCGTGTTGAACCGCCACGGGGCACTTGTTGCCCGAATCATGGTTCCCATCCCATCCCATCCCGCGCTCCTCAACCGTCATCCGCCAGCCCTGAACTTATTAAGGCACCCTACCTACCTGCAGCCCATCTGCATTTTGCTTAGGTAGTCCCTGGAGTGCCGGTTGGGAGCAAAAGGATTGTATTGTAGGAGAAAGCCACAATCACCTTCCTGGGCCTTCCTGGCCAGTAGTAAAAGACACGCGTGCCCCAAGTTTCCGCTTCTTGCTTTGCTGTGCGGCGGCCATCCCACACACACACCCACCATCTACTTGCTAAGTTGTGCCGCTCTGATGTGTGTCTCTGTGCAACTCATTGCCATAGGCTGTGTTGCCAAGCCGTGCCGTCTTATGGTACCCGAACTCTAGACAATCCGCCCAATCTGCAAGTGCCCGGATTGCCACAACGAGAGCGTCGTAAAAGACGGGGGAATGATGACTGCTTACCCGGCGGTGGTGAAGCCTAGCAAAGCAGGTACGGCTGGCAAGCTAAGCTACTCGAATGGGCTTGGGCTTTGAAGGTTGTTGGCGCGAGGTCATTAGTGTCAAGCTCATCCAAGCCAAGGCCAAGTATCAAGTATGGCTCTTGATCATCTGCCGAACATCTTTTCGCCGTTGACAGAGCTGCCCCGATGAGCTGAGTTTTCATGGCCGGGTCGAACACAGCTTGCTGCGCAGTCACTGCTTGGCAATACTGCAGCAGCTGGAATACATCAAATTATCGGCGAGCCTGTGCCCACCTTGGGGTCAACAAACTCATATCGTCACGGGAGTCCGGAGACTTATTGACAGAATGGCGGAGAAACGCGCCCCTATCCATCATCTCGCTCTCGTTTCGTCGCTTCTCAGCCAACATTGCATCCGTAAACATCCATACAAACAGCATTGTGGACCCAACTTTCCGCGGTGGATCCCCGCATGGCCCGCCTTACCATGGCCGATTGAGGCTGTGTTGACATTCGAGCGTTCCTGGTGTTCTCGTGGGTAGTCGTCACCGGCCAGCCAATAACATTACACAGCTGGCCCTTTTGTGAGGAGCTCTAGTCGGGTCATCAACGAGTCCCCGAGGCTGCTAGTTGCACAGCGCTCGGGATACATCATGCTTGGTCTCCATGTTTTGCAGAAAACGTTCCTGGGTCACCCGTTCGCGTGAGGTCCAAGAGAGTGGTGTTCCGTTGCATCGCTGCCCGCAAAATTAGGATGCGCTCCCGTCCAGGATCTGCCGGTCACATCTGTCTGATGCGTGCACGTTGCCGATCCTGATCGGCGAGCGGAAAGTCCACAACTTGCCAACTTTTTCATGACCGTACATTTTGGCCGGCGTTCATCGTCCCCGATATATCCTGATGACCGAAGCCATTGCTAGGAGAGAGCCGTTCAAAACTACAGCAGTCCTCAGTAGCCGCTGCCAGTTGACAGTAACCCTCACAGTATTGCACAGCCGCCGGGACGGGAATCTCCACAGGCCGTCTCCGCAGCAGTCGGTGGCCGCGCGGTTCCGGGGGTTTAGAGGCTGAAAACGCGGGATGGTTCGGAACGGGTGGGATGTCCCTCCTCCACATCCCCCGAGCGGCGCTATCGCTCGAGGTACTTAACCTTAGCTACCGCCGGCAGTCCCGGGAACGGCTGCGCATATCCAATGATTCGTTGGAGTAGAACGGGCTGTTTGTTGGCAGAGCCCAACCACCGCCTTAGTTTAGTGGCAGAGTTGACCTTTCGAGAGGTGTAATGGTTTGCGTGTCCCTTTCTTGGCGTGCCGAGAGTTTGACGCTCCTTTGAGCAGGAAAGCCAATCGCGGCGATGAAAGGGGTATCAGATGTTGTGCGAAGGAGCTTGGTTGGAACAGCAGGTTGCGTTGCCAGCGGCTTGTGCCACGGAACTTGTGACGGGTGTTTCCAAGCAGATGACTAACTTAGGTGACGGCGAGGCAGTTTGGGAGCCGCAGGGAGCTGCCAAACTTTGCTGAGGGCGAGGTAGCTGTTTCTTGCTTGCATATAAGAACCAGTCGAACAGACACCTGGACAAGTTGTTGATTGCAGACACAGACGGATGAAAATCGCCTTCTCAGATGAGTTGTGTGTTGGTGATACGATCCGGCCTCTGGCGAGCCGAGCGAGCTGCTCCCCTTAGTGGTCATTGGCGGTGGCCAAGCTTCATCTCGGTGCGTGGCACAAGATGGGACAAGAAGCCATCCGTACAGCTACACGGGGGTATTGAGATGACATCGGGTCTTGAACCGATTCCCAGGTGGCAGGGCATCGTGGTGTTTGGTGCTTGGTGTTTGGACCTTGGAGAGCGGGACGGACCTGGTCAGTGTTGAAATCGAATAACTTTCCGGGTTCTCATTCCGTCAGGCACAGACGTGCCTTAGGTAAGCTGGAGCGTGAGTACTTTGTATCGGTATTTAGTTATGTCAGCCGG